CAAATTGTAGATAAAGAACCTCGATCAACTTCCAGACAAATTCGAGCTGACCTTCAGGCACAGGGTACAACTGTGTCAGCTTGCACTATATTTTGCCATTTGAATGAAAAGGGATGCTATGGTAGGAGACCAAGGAGGACCCTACTGCTGACACAAAAACATAAAACAGCCAGATTGGAGTTTGCCAAAACGTACGTGAGGCAGCCAAAATCCTTTTGGGAGAATGTGCTGTGGACAGATAAAACAAAATTACAGCTTTTTGGTAAAGCCCATTCTACTGTTTTCAGAAAAAGAAATAAGGCCTTTAACGAAAAGAATACAGTCCCTACAATCAAACATGGTTGAGGTTCACTGATGTTTTGGGGTTGCTTTGCTGCTTCAGACACTAGCTGTCTTGACTGTGTGCATGGCATTATTAAATCTGAAGACTACTAAAGAATTCTGGGGTGCAATGTAGAGCCCAATGTCAGAAAATTGGGTCTCTGTCAGAGGTCATGGGTTTTACAGCAGGACAGTGACCCAAAGCTCACATCAAAAAACGTGGCTTCAGACAAAGCGCTGGAGAGTACTGAACTTGCCAGCAATGAGTCCAGATCCCAATCCCATAGAGTACCCATAGAAAGATCTCAAAAAAGCAGTTGGGAAGAGGAATCCTTCCAATCTGAGAGACCCGGAGCAGTTGGCGAAAGAAGAGTGGCCCAAAATTCCAGCAGAGAGGTGTAAGAAACTCATTTATGGTTACAGGAAGCAATTGATTTCAGTCATTCATTCCATGGGGTGTTCTACCAAATATTAAATTGAGGGTGCCAATAATTTTGTCCAGTCAATTTTTAAAGTTTTGGGTGGAATGTGTCAGATTTGGCTTTTTTTCCCCCTCCACTTTTGTGTCATACCAATTCAAACAAAAGAAATGCAGGGGTGCCATTATTTTTGACCATAACGGTATGTTCCCAGAGCCCCATAATACTGTCAGATGTCAATTAAAGAAATATGTCCAGAGGTGGTTCAGTTGGTTTTTTTAAAATGTTGTACTTAGCTGCCCCTTAGAATGGTTTTGCACTGTCACATACCTGATGAGAGACTGAATTGACGAGGTCGGCCTCACTTGTGTCACTAGCCCTGACCCCGCTGAGGTTGGAACAGAGGGAGTCTAGGGACCAGGGGGACAAGAGCGCCAGTGGTTGTTGCTTGCGGTTCTTGCAGATGATGACTTTGATAGGCAGAGTATCCTCTGATTTGGGCACCGCAGAAATAGACCAGGCAGGTTCTGTGGATTGCCAGATGTGCAGCAGAGCAAGGTAGGTAGCCAGGACACAGGACTGGAGCAGAGTCCAGGATAGCCGGGGTCATACACAGTCGGGCAGCGCGGTACAGAATCAGAAGGTAGAGCCAAAGTCAGGAGCAGAGCCGAAGTCAGGAACCAGAAGCAGGAGAGTAATCAGAGTCGGGTCAGGAACAAGCTGGGTCAGCAACAAAGGAATCGTACAGGAGCAAGCAGGACTCGGGGGGGGGGGGGGGGGGGGGGAGCTGAAGACCAGTCAGCACTGAACCTGAGCAGAGGCACTCCTTAATTGGGCCGCCTGGCGCCAATCTTCGCGCCGTGCGTGTGCGCGATTCGCGCATTCCTGCGCGCATTTGCACAACCGGCAGTTTGCGGGGATTCTTATGCGCATGCGCGTTCCCGATCGTGATTCTTCTTGCCGGAAATCCCTTACATGCACAAAGCAGCCCCATTCCTCCTTTTCTGGGGTCCCCTGCTGGTGGTATTGGCTTATCCCTCCTCTGATTGCCCCTATAGCAGTGTTTCTCAACTCCAGTCCTCATGGACCCCCAACAGGTCATGTTTTCAGGATTTCCATTATTTTGCACAGGTGATTTGATCAGTTTCACTGCCTTAGTAATTACCACAGCTGTTTCATCTGAGGGAAATCCTGAAAACATGACCTGTTGGGGGTCCATGAGGACTGGAGTTGAGAAACACTGCCCTATAGCAAGCCACTGGGTATCAGAGCACATGTTTGCTTCTGAGCTGCCTCTGTATGTCCATAGATACACAGTGCGGCTTGACCCCACCCAGCACTCCCTCTTCACAGGCTGTGATTGACAGCACCAAAAGCCAATGGCTCCCGCTGTGTCTGAGCCAGTGAGGAGAGAGAGAGCAGTGATGCTGCTCGCTTGCACAGCACTGCATTGACATCGGGCTTGGGTAAGTAATTGGGGGGAGCTGCACATTAAAGGTTATTTACCTTTACATCCTGTTTAACTTATAGTATGCCTGAGCATTTTACAAGATGGATGAATTCCTTGAGTTCAGCTTTAATTTTCACATTTCAAATTCCTCTTTGTATCTTTCAATTGGATTAAGGATTTTCATTGCTTGTTTTATTTACAGATGTAAGTATCAGTACATTTTCAGAAGAAGACTGTGTTGTATATAATTTGACTGCAGTCTCACAATAGCATCGGTTTCTTAAAGTAACAGATCCCCTGAGAGTATCTGTTTTAAGTACAAGGCTGTAAACACATCAGTTTGTGTAACAGAGTAAATAAACACGATTCAATGAACTTCATTCATTATTCTTATTGTTAGCAATCCCAGAGGGAGTACAATAAAATATAATGGCAATCATCACCAATATATTTGGTAGTTAGCATTTGCTAATTCTACGTTAAAAAAGAAACAAAAAAAAGCATTATTCTAGAACTGAATAATTGGCTTGGAGCAGGTTATTTGCTCAGGACTAATTAGCTGATGTTTTTGCTTTATGCAGCAGGTAAAGCCTTCATTGGTGTGTATGACTTAAAAAGGACACCAGAGACCAAACCCTGGTAGCCCCCTGTATCTTTTAGATTGCATTTACTAGGGTGTCCTGGGTGATCCTTTAATCGTGCTACATTTTGTTCTTTCTTTTTACTATTTTCCTTGGTCCTGGTTACCCCTTCATTGTCATGTTCCTTGGTATTGGTTATTGGTTCTCTGTTATAGCTCTTTTGACTACAAGTTTTTGTCTGCTTTCAGTCTATCCAGACCATGTTACCTTCCTGTATTTGGTCTCCCTCATCCTGCTGACCTATCTCTCTGACTCATTGGGATCCCTATATCGCAACATATTCCTGCCCTGACATAATTTGTAGTACTCTTGCCTTCATCTTGGCTGTGTGTTCCTGACTGTGTCTGTATGTCTCTGACTACAATACTTAGGTTTGTTTACCCCTTGGCTACTTACCTCATTTTTTAGGTCAACCTTTTAGGGAATGGCCTTTTTTGGAACCAGCTGATATTCATGCCTCTGCCTGGGTACAGCAATAACTATCCAAACCTGCTGCCACAACACTACTGTGCAGGTTTGGGGAGATGGGCATAGATACCAAAATGCTCACCCCAGCAAGCAATTAGAGCCCACAGCAGAAGTGTTTATTCAGCTAGAGGGCAGATGATTTTGCGCAAAATTGATATCTTCACTTGTATGTGTCAGGGTTCCCGGGTGTGACCAGAGGTGTGTGACTGACGCAGGGAAACGCAGACTTCAGATATGTTATAAACAATGTAATTTATTAACACTAACAATACAAACATAAACGCAGTGCAATACTAAAACATAACACAGTGCAAACAAACCAAACCAACCACCCACAGATAACAGTACATACAATGCAAGCGTCGTCAGGCAGGCCGGGTCAATATCAATCGGGCAGGTAGGTACAGGGGGAGGAAGCGGAGAATGGTCAGGGTCACAAGCCAGGTTCAGCAGGTAGCGGGCAGCGTGGTACAGAGGGTCAGGCAGAGGAGAATGGTCAGACAAGCCAGGGATCAGGAGCAGGAGAATGGTCAGACAAGCCAGGGATCAGAGCAGGGTCAGCAGAGAATCAGACAGGAACAGGAAACAGGGCCCAGGAGAAACACAACACCAAGGCAGAGTCTGCAGGTCTGAATGTCCCTTAAATACACCAGTATAATTAGTTCCAGGTGTTTGACTGGCTGCAAGGTTGAGTCTCTGATTGCTGGGAGCACCCGCTGGCCAGCCCTGGTACTGCAGCTCATAAGGCAGGTGAGTCCCACTATTGCTGGCCAGTCCATTCCTGACAGTACCCCCCCCCTCAAGGAGCGGCCTCAGGACGCTCCAAACAGTCCTAGCTGGGCAAAATGTTCCACCGCCCGGGTCTGGTAACTGGCGGGATATCAAAGACTGGCACACCGGGCAGGACTCCGGGCAGCGGCACACCGGGCAGAGGCACATCGGGCAGGACTCCGGGCAGAGGCACATCGGGCAGGACTCCGGGCAGAGGCACATCGGGCAGGACTCCGGGCAGAGGCACATCGGGCTGGACTCCGGGCAGAGGCACATCGGGCTGGACTCCGGGCAGAGGCACATCGGGCTGGACTCCGGGCAGAGGCACATCGGGCTGGACTCCGGGCAGAGGCACATCGGGCTGGACTCCGGGCAGAGGCACATCGGGCTGGACTCTGGACAGAGGCACATCGGGCTGGACTCCGGGCAGAGGCACAATCGGGCTGGACTCCGGGCAGAGGCACATCGGGCTGGACTCCGGGCAGAGGCACATCGGGCTGGACTCCGGGCAGAGGCACATCGGGCTGGACTTTGGGCAGAGGCACATCGGATTACCAGGCGAAGCAGCAGGCACCGGGCTACCGGGCGGAGCAGCAGCAGGCACCGGGCCACCGGGCGGAGCAGTAGGCACCGGGCCACCGGGCGGAGCAGCAGGCAGCGGGCCACCGGGCGGAGCAGCAGGCACCGGGCCCCCAGGCGGGGCGACGGGCACCGGGCCCCCCCGGCGGGGCGACAGGCATCGGGCCCCCAGGAGGGGCGACAGGCATCGGGCCCCCAAGCGGAGCGGCGGGCGCCAGGCCCCCAGGAGGGGCGACAGGCATCGGGGCCCCCAAGCAGAGCGGCGGGCACTGGGCCCCCAGGCGGGGCGACGGGCACCGGGCCCCCAGGCGGGGCGACAGGCACCGGCCCCCAGGCGGGGCGACAGGCATCGGGCCGCCAGGCGGGGCGACAGGCATCGGGCCCCCCCGGCGGGGGGTGACAGGCATCGGGCCCCCAAGCGGAGCGGCGGGCGCCGGGCCCCCAGGAGGGGCGACAGGCATCGGGCCCCCAGGCGGGGCGACAGGCATCGGGCCCCCAGGCGGGGCGACAGGCATCGGGCCCCCAGGAGGGGCGACAGGCATCGGGCCCCCAGGTGGAGCGGCGGGGCGCCGGACCCCCAGGTGGAGCGACAGGTCTCGGGCCCCCAGGCGGAGCGGCGGGCGCCGGACCACCAGGCGGAGAGACAGGTCTCAGGCCCCCAGGCGGAGCGGCGGCGGGCGCCGGACCCCCAGGCGGAGCGGCGGGCGCCGGACCCCCAGGCGGAGCGACAGGTCTCGGGCCCCCAGGCGGAGCGGCGGGCACCGAGTCACCAGGCACGACAGTGGGCTCCGAGTCAACTGGCAAGACTGCGGGCACCGAGTCAACTGGCGGAACAGCGGGCTTCGAGTCGTCTGGCAAGACTGCGGGCACCGAGTCGTCTGGCAAGACTGCGGGCACCGAGTCGTCTGGCAAGACTGCGGGCACCAAGTCGTCTGGCAAGACTGCGGGCACCGAGTCGTCTGGCGGAACAGCGGGCATCGAGTCAACTGGCGGAACAGCGGGCACCGAGTCGTCTGGCAAGACTGCGGGCACCGAGTCGTATGGCAAGACTGCGGGCACCGAGTCGTCTGGCAAGACTGCGGGCACCGAGTCGTCTGGCAAGACTGCGGGCACCGAGTCGTCTGGCAAGACTGCGGGCACCGAGTCAACTGGCGGAACAGCGGGCATCGAGTCAACTGGCGGAACAGCGGGCTTCGAGTCGTCTGGCAAGACTGCGGGCACCGAGTCGTCTGGCAAGACTGCGGGCACCGAGTCGTCTGGCAAGACTGCGGGCACCGAGTCGTCTGGCAAGACTGCGGGCACCGAGTCGTCTGGCGGAACAGCGGGCACCGAGTCGTCTGGCGGAACAGCGGGCACCGAGTCGTCTGGCGGAACAGCGGGCACCGAGTCGTCTGGCGGAACAGCGGGCACCGAGTCGTCTGGCAAGACTGCGGGCACCGAGTCGTCTGGCAAGACTGCGGGCACCGAGTCGTCTGGCAAGACTGCGGGCACCGAGTCATCTGGCAAGACTGCGGGCACCGAGTCACCAGGCACGACAGTGGACTCTGACTCAATTGGCACGACAGCGGGCACCGAGTCATCAGGTACCGGATTGTCTGGCTCGACAGCGGGCATCGGGTCACCAGGTATGACAGCGGGCACTGGGTCACCAGGCATTGGATCGTCTGGCTCGACAGCGGGCATCGGGTCACCAGGTATCAGGTCATTTAGCTCGCCAGCGGGCACCGCGTCATCTGGCATGGCAGTGGGCACCGAGTCACCAGGCACGACAGCGGGCTCTGAGTCAACTGGCATGACAGCGGGCACCGGGTCATCAGGTACCGGATTGTCTGGCTCGACAGCGGGCATTGGGTCACCAGGCCTAATAGGATCGTCAGGCTGGATCAGTTCATCATGCTGGGTAGAGGCATCAGGCTGAATGCAGGCATCCGGCTGAGAAGAGGCTTCAGGCTGAGAAGAGGCTTCAGGCTGAGTAGAGGCTTCAGGCTGAGTAGAGGCTTCAGGCTGAGTAGAGGCATCAGGCTGAGTAGAGGCATCAGGCTGAGTAGAGGCATCAGGCTGAGTAGAGGCATCAGGCTGAAGAGAGGCATCAGGCTGCGTACAGGCATCAGGCTGGGTACAGGCATCAGACTGGGTACAGGCATCAGGCTGGGTACAGGCATCAGGCTGAGTAGAGGCTTCAGGCTGAACCACGGAAGGCGGGTTCTCAGACGGCAGGCTCACCGGTTTGGATACTGGCAGGATGGTATTGGTTGGAAAGAATTTTCGCTTTTTTTCTGGTTTTAACTACTGGAGCACTGCAAGTAAACGCAGGTCTGCAAACGAATGGAGCAGCTGGAGACAGAGAAGAGCTGGAGGATGGAACAGAGGAGGGAACAGTTGCTACAGAGGGCTTTTTTACAGGGTTAAAGGCAGGATAGGTGCAGCGAGTGGGAACAGGGTACTGACATGCGGTAGATAGCAGGGCAGGAGGAGCTGTTGGGAATGCAGGAATAGAGCTTTGAGGAAATAGATTAGAAGCAGGACTGGGTTTTTGTAAGCTGACTGAGGCTGGGTGCAACAAATCTGTCCATGTCTGCAGTATGGGTTGGACAAAGCTGAGCTTACACAAAGCCTGTCTGGTCAATGACTGCACTGCGTTTATACAATCTCTTAGTAACTGTGGTGAACAGGCAGAATAACGCTCCAAGAAGCAATCCACATCATCCTCTAATAACCATACCAGGGACTCTACCTGGTCGGCACTAAATGGCGGCAAAAATTCATCCCTGCATTCAGGGGTACCAGATGAAACCAACTCAGCACAAACCTGAATCAATGGCTGCACCTCAGAGAACTCTGTGCCCTGATCTACTAGAACATGAGCGATCCGTATACATTCTAGCAGTTCATCCCGGGGATACTCCTTCAGAGTTTGATAAGCATACTCTCTGTCATCAAACACTAGCAGATATAAATACACAACCTCATCAAGATCCATCCTTCCCATCAACAAACCAAGATGGCTTCCCTGTGCAGCCACTTCTGGTCAGGATTGGCCTTGGTGTAATGTCAGGGCTCCCGGGTGTGACCAGAGGTGTGTGACTGACGCAGGGAAACGCAGACTTCAGATATGTTATAAACAATGTAATTTATTAACACTAACAATACAAACATAAACGCAGTGCAATACTAAAACATAACACAGTGCAAACAAACCAAACCAACCACCCACAGATAACAGTACATACAATGCAAGCGTCGTCGTCAGGCAGGCCGGGTCAATATCAATCGGGCAGGTAGGTACAGGGGGAGCAAGCGGAGAATGGTCAGGGTCACAAGCCAGGTTCAGTAGGTAGCGGGCAGCGTGGTACAGAGGGTCAGGCAGAGGAGAATGGTCAGACAAGCCAGGGATCAGGAGCAGGAGAATGGTCAGACAAGCCAGGGATCAGAGCAGGGTCAGCAGAGAATCAGACAGGAACAGGAAACAGGGCCCAGGAGAAACACAACACCAAGGCAGAGTCTGCAGGTCTGAATGTCCCTTAAATACACCAGTATAATTAGTTCCAGGTGTTTGACTGGCTGCAAGGTTGAGTCTCTGATTGCTGGGAGCACCCGCTGGCCAGCCCTGGTACTGCAGCTCATAAGGCAGGTGAGTCCCACTATTGCTGGCCAGTCCATTCCTGACAGTATGTTAAGCTGTTTATCTAATACTGCCTGTCTGGTAATGGAATCACAGAGCCCTTGGTGGACATGAGAGTATCTCCCTAAGCATGGCAGGGCATAAGAAGGATTTATATGGGGCTGAAACAGAGTATTGGCTCCTCGCGCTCCAAAGCTCCAGTCATTAAAGCCTAAGTTTACTGAAAAAATAAATAGTAAGCCTTGAACTCTGGGTCTGCTTTCTGGAACATGTGACAATGCACATCATCTGAGGAGGAAGGCACTGGTGATGTAGCCTTACCAGGATGCATCTGTGGGTCAATGGGTACATTCCCAACGTCTCACTCAACTATGCAGTGGTAAAACAGTAATCGTAAGTAAAAGCAAAACATGTTTAACTAATGAAGGTAAAATTACTTCACATTAGCATGCAGCTATGGTCTGTGATTTGTTTTTTGTTTTTTTTGTAAAGGGTGAAAGGTCCACTTTAACTGCTCATTTTGCCTAGGGGATGATGATTAAGGTCATATATTTACCTTATTCCTCCCTTCTGCAGGCTTGCTTCTCTTGGCCCCAAAGTTTTTTCCATTGCGGGAGCAGTGGACAGTGGGTAGAGAGAGTTGGCTGCTTAGGAAGTGAGGAATCATCTCCTATACAAAACAGGAGGACTCATTGCAAGGGTAAATCCTTTTTTATTAATGGAGGTTTAATGGAGATGGTATAAATGTTATGAGTTAAAACAGTTGAGATAATTAAGTATCCTAATGTCTGCTAAATCCTCTGTAAACCTAACCAGTATAGACAGCCGCAATTCTCATAATATTCTCAATTACATTACGAATGCATCCCATGAATTTTATATTTAGCAATCCTTTTAGCATGCAATTATTAATGTAGAATAATGAATTTTTCCAAAGCAATCAGAAGCTGGTCTTTGAATTAAACCTGGGGCCGATCAAATTAACTCTGTCAAAGCTTTGAATACACGTACACAGAAAAAAGGAATATGCTTTTGAAGTTGGTTTTTTTTTTTTGTATTTCAGTTACTAAAGAAAGTCTATGAAACATAGACTTAAATTAAATGGATGAAAATGTTTAATAACTATAAATGCAAATGCATACTTTCTTCCGTCTTCCTAATTGTAACATGTCCTATTACAGTGAAGGAAATAAATATTTGATCCCCTGCTGATTTTGAATGTTTGCCCACTCACAAAGAAATGATCTAAAAATCGAATGGTAGGTGTATTGTAACACTGAGAGACAGAATTGCAACAAAAAATTCAAAAGAAATGCATGTCTAATACAGTCAGGTCCATAAATATTGGGACATCGACATTATTCTGTCCCATTACTTTTGGTCCCTTAACAAGTGGGAGGCACATATGCAAACTGTTGTAATTCCTACACCGTTTACCTGATTTGGATGTAAATACCCTCAAATTTAAGCTGACAGTCTGCAGTTAAAGAACATCTTGTTCGCTTCGTTCCAAATCCATTGTGGTGGTGTATAGAGCCAAAAATGTTAGAATTGTGTCGATGTCCCAATATTTATGGACCTGACTGTAAATGATGCACTGATTTGCATGTTCATGAGGGAAATAAGTATTTGATCCCCTATCATTTCTGGCTAGCATACAGGTCATAAGCTGAGATTAGAAGCAGTCTCTTAAAGGGAGTGCTGCTCATCTCATTTTGTTAGCTGTATAAAAGACACCTGTCCACAGGAGCAATCAAACAATCAGATTCCAAACTCTCCACCATGGCAAAGACCAAAGAACTGTCCAAGGATGTCAGGGATAAGATTGTAGACCTACACAAGGCTGGACTAGGCTACAAAACTATCGCCAAGCAGCTTGGTGAGAAGGTTACAACAGTTGGTGCAATCATTCGCAAATGGAAGAAAAACAAAACAACTGTCAGTCTCCCTAGGTCTGGTGCACCATGCAGGTGCAAGATCTCACCTCGTGGAGTGTCAATGATCATGAGAACAGTGAGGAATCAGACCAGAACTGCACATGAGGATCTTGTCAATGATCTCCAGGCAGCTGGGACCACATTCACCAAGAAAACAATTGGCAACACACTATGCAGACAAGGATTGAAATCCTGCAGTGCCCGCAAGGTCCCTCTGCTCAAGAAAGCACATGTCCACGCCCGTCTGAAGTTTGCCACTGAACATCTGAATGATGCAGAGGAAGACTGGTTGAAAGTGTTGTGGTCAGATGAGACCAAAATCAAGCTCTTTGGCATCAACTCAACTCGCCGTGTTTGGAGGATGAGGAATGCTGCCTATGACCCCAAGAACGCCATCCCAACTGTCAAACATGGTGGTGGAAACATTCTGCTTTGGGGGTGTTTTTCTGCTAAGGGAACAGGACAACTTCACTACATCAAAGGGACGATGGACAGGGCAATGTACCGTCAAATCGTGGGTGAGCACCTTCTTCCCTCAGCCAGGGCATTGAAAATGGGTCATGTATGGGTGCTCAAGCATGACAATGACCCAAAACACATGGCCAAGGTAACAAAGGAGTGGCTCAAGAAGAAGCACATTAAGGTCCTGGAGTGGCCTAACCGGTCTCCAGACCATAATCCGATTGAAAATCTGTGGGGGGAGCTGAAAGTTCGAGTTGCCAAATGTCAGCCACCAAACCTTAATGGCTTGGAGAGGATCTGCCAAGAGGAGTGGGCCAAAATCCCTCTTGAGATGTGTGCAAACCTGGTGGCCAACTACAGGAAACATCTGACCTCTGTGATTGCCAACAAGGGATTTGCCACCAAGTACTAAGTCATGTTTTGTGAGGGGGATCAAATACTTATTTACCTCATGAACATGAAAATCAGTTCATAACTTGTTAGACATGCATTTCTTTTGAATTTTTTGTTATTATTCTGTCTCTCAGTGTTACAATACACCTACTATTCAATTTTTAGACTGATCATTTCTTTGTGAGTGGGCAAACATTCAAAATCAGCAGGGAATCAAATACTTATTTCCTTAACTGTATAACCTTATTTCCAAACATCTGGTATAGAGG